GAAAAAGAAGCACATATTCGCCTAATGTAAGGTCAGTAGAACGATGTTCCAGCCCTTCGCCGCATTTCTGTCGCCATCATTTAAGTATGTGGGTGCGCCATTCACTTGCTTGCCTTGCCTGCCTTTGAAAGACGGGCACCTTTGGCGTGGATCTTCAACTTCAACTTCAACATCAACATCACAGAAGACCACCGTCGCACTTGCCCAGGATCGCATCACCAAACAACACAACACCGGAATACCCAGTCTACCTACCTAGGTACATAACGCAGAACAAAAAGCCATGGCCGACTTTAACGCGGCATCCCCGAGGATGCCGGACCCTTCCTACGACTCCGACGCCACAACATCAGAAATCACCATCACCATCACGCACCGCAACATCACTTACACCTTTGACTTCGACCCCTCAGCAACCCTCGCCGACCTATCCAACGCCATCGCCGACCAAATGTCTATACCCCACGCCACCCAGAAGCTCCTTATCCCCAAACACGGCCTCCAAAAGCCTCCGTTCGCGAACCCACTCCCCCTCTCGCCCCTCCAGTCCACCAAGATCCAGCTCCTCGCCCCGCCGCCAGCAGAGCTCGCCTCCCTCCACGCAGCCTCCGAACTGGCCTCCGCGCGCGCCGCCTCCCGCGCCGCAGCGCGCCGCGCCCGCCCCTCCGCCAGCGCCCGACCGACCTCGAACCCCATCTCGACCCTGTCGTCGTCATCATCGACCTACACCTTCCTCACCGTCCGCCCGCTGCCGTTCCTGCCGCACCCGGAACAGAGCCTGGCGCTGCTGAACCGCCTCAAGGCCGACCCGGGCATCCGCGCCAGCATGGCCAAGCACGCCTTCACCGTTCAGCTTCTCACCGAGATGGAGCCCCTCGCCAACACGTCCTCGACCCACGAGGGCACGACGCGCCTGCTCGGCCTCAACCGCAACAAGGGCGAGGTCATCGAGCTGCGCCTGCGCACCGACGCCCATGACGGCTATCGCGACTACAAGACCATCCGCCGCACCCTGTGCCACGAGCTCGCTCACAATGTCCACAGCGACCATGACAAGGACTTCTGGGCCTTGTGCCGCCAGATCGAGCGCGAGGTCGAGGCAGGCAGCGGCGGTCACACCATTGGCGGCGGCGGCTACACTGCGCCGGCGAGGGGCGGCGACGCGGACGAAGACGAGGACGTCGACGACCACGGCGGCTGGCAGGGCGGCGAATTTGTCGTCGGCGGCGGCAGCACACCGAGTCAGGGGCTCAGTCGGCGGGAGATACTCGCCAAGGCTGCCGAAGAGAGGTTGAAAAGGATGAACATGGACAGGCCGGACGGCGGAAGGCCAGATTCGGGACCATCGTCTTGATCGCGTCTGTTTTCTTTCGATTTAAGGATTTATCAGCATAGCAAGCGTTGCATTTTGGTTTCCTTAGATTCCGTCCACGCTGCGACATAATTAGAGATTCGCTCGGCACCATGATTGTAAGTCATTCACCAGAGTAGAATCGCAAGTAATATCATCGCAATTGAGCTACCTAGCCAAGGCAACCCCTGTTTTCCGTACTCCATACACTGTACTCAACAAATCGACACGCAAACGGGAAAAATCAACTGACCCCTCGCAATCCATGCTACTCCAGCGCGTGCCCATGACACCCGGGAATTCACAATCCCCCCAGGCTAAAAGTAACCCAATTTCCTTTCCCCACGCGTGTGCGGTATGTACCGTGGCCCATTACCTTGGCTCCCAATGGGTGCGAGAAAAGGGCCAGTATGGTGACCCTCGACTCGCATACCTATCAGCTCCAGATTATGTCGAGCGTGGTCAAGCTCCTTCTGCAGGGATGCCTCTCTATGTACTAGAAATCGTCATGTCGTCAAATTGCGAGACAACAAGCTCGCCTGCCGTGTGGAAGACTCAGCCGTAATGGCGAGTGCTGTGGGTTTCAAGCGTGCGCTTGGCAACGCCCATCATCTGGGAGAGGTTCTTCAGGATCGGATCGTTGCCACGAGTGCTGCTAATCCGAACAAACAGGTTCTCCGTATTGGTGATGATGAGGTGGAAAATTTTGGGGGTGATGGCGCGAGCATCGGCCTCCTGTGTATGGTCAGATTCTGTTCTCGAGCATGCTAGTAAACGTAGAAAAACATACCATATTGTCAAAATCGGTGCTGATCTTATGAACGACCACCTCGAGCCAGGCAACACGCTCACGGGTAACAGAGTCGAGGCTTTGGCAAATCGTGGTTGCGATTGTGAGTAGGAGCAGACCAGGCATGCCATCAAGAACCAGCTGCGGGCTGTACTTGCTCATGAGTCGGTCGAAGATGAACTGCTCACGACCCGACTGCAGCCAGCGAAGCAGGGCATCTTCAGTCCTGCCTGCTTTGATAAGACCGTCAATACGAGCCACGCAGTCAGCCAGCTCCTGGTCAAACTCCTCTTCGCCCTGGCTTTGGTTGGCGAGGGTGAGGGCCTGCGAGTTGGCATGACTCTGCTGGTAGGGAGCGCCGTGTTGTCCATGTCCGTGCGAAGACGCCTGGGACTGCTGATAGCCCACAGAACGGTGCTGCGATGTCTCGGGGCTCTGCATCGAACCATAGTGCTGGCTGCCTTGCTGCTGCTGTTGCTGCTGCTGCTGCATGTGCTCCTGCATTCGCTGGACCTGCTGCTGCATCTGGGTGAGGCCCTGGCTGTGGACCTGGCTAGGTCCCTGGCCGTGGCGCGGCCCATACTCCTGGCCCTGTATAGCCGGTGGGAGCTGGTGCTGCTGAGCAGGGATCGGCTGCTGCAAGGGCCCAGGGTTCTTCGTCGTCTGCTGCTGGAAGCGAATGAACTCGGTTTGGAACTGCTCCTGTGTGGCTGCCATGCCAGATACCATGCTGGTCAACTGCGCGAAAGCAGTGTGCAGCTCGTCGATCTTCTTGCTATCAGCAGCACGCTGTTCGTGAAGTGCTGTCATCTCGGCGTGGTGCTGACGCTGCAAATCGTCGGCCACCTGTTGGCAAGCTGTGGTCGCCATCGTGGTGAAAGCAGTCGACATCTGGTTGGTCAGCGAGTGGACAACTTCGCGTTGGACGTTCGCAGCGACTGTGGACCCAACACGGTCCGAGAGTCCCTTGATGAAGTCAGTGCTCTGCAGAGCATGCTGTGTTGCCGAGGGAAGGCTCTTGTTGATCTCCTTCTGAATGGTCTGCGACAACTGGCGGTTTGTACCAGAGCTGAACTGCTCCGAGACCGCCTTGCGCGCAACGTCCGAAATGGTAGGCATAGCGAGGTCGAATTGTCCCTGGATCAAGGATTCCAAGACTTTCTGGGTGTTCTCATTGAGAACATCAGAGATCATGGTCAACAAGGTCTTTTGATGCTGGTCAAAATCTTTCTCACGCTCGCGCTGGCCGTCTTCCAGCTTGGTGTGAAGTGACTTGATGGCGGCATTGATGGTACCGGCGAAGCTGCTGTTCAGACGGGACTCCATCGTTGTCAGAGAATTCATGACGGTCTCGATGGACTCCATCGACACATAGCTGGAAGGCACCGCAGGAGCAGCAGCGGTGGCGGTCTTCGAGTCTTTGGGGGTGACACGAGGTGATTGGCTGCCACCATTGGATTGCGACTGCGATTCGGCGGCCAGAGCGGCAGCTGCAGCGACTGCGGCCGCCTTCTTCTTACGACCCTTACGCTCCGCCTTCTCAGGCTTGTCGTCCTTGACGGGAGCGGTCGTAGGAGTGTCCTCATCCTTGGATTCCTGCTTCTTGAGGAAGCCCCGGGGCGCGTGGCGGTCCTCATCTTGGGAAGATGGCGCAGTGTGCGCAGTAGACTCTTTGGTGTTGGAACGAGCAGGCGCCGCAGGCGCGGGTGCAGGCTCCTGATGGGCGGGCTCGGCCGGGAGGGCATGAGGTGGCTTGAGCTTGGAAATGCTCACAACACCAGCATCCACAGCTGAGACCGGTGCCAGGACCTTGTTGTCTTTTGACCAGCCGAGCTCTGCCTGCTTGATCAAGAGACACGCAACACCCTTGGAGTGCATCGCGTAAAGCTCGAACAAGGTCGGCTCGTCAGAGTCTTGGCTCATGGCAGGGGTGGACAGCAGGTCGAGACTGCGCAGGATTCCCCGGTTGGCAAATGAGTACTCGCGGACACCGCTAATGACCGCGGTCGAGTCAGGCTGGGGAATGGTGGTGTCATGGTCGATGAGGCGCTTGATGTAGTCGACCTGCGAAACGCTCTTGAGGTTATACTTAGGGGCCGAAAGATGGGCGAAGTAGATCGAATTGCGTGTTGGATGACCAATGATCAACATGCCGGTAGGCGCGTGGTACATGACGCTGCACACTGCATCTGACTCCTTGCTGTGTGGGAGGTTGAACTCCTGAACGGGCTTACCGAGGGCCAGGTCCCAAAGCTGAAGTGTGTGGGTTTTGCTTCATGCCGATAATCATGTAACGCAGCGCGCAACGCTTCTGGTAGGGGCGGAGCTTTATCCACCAGAAGAACCGAGGTCGGCCATGCCTTTTTCGCCTTCCGGCGTACTCGTCAGGGTCAACATGGGCTCTTTGACCTCCAGAGAAGTGTGCGCAGGGATAGGGGCGCGAGGGTCGCTGCCCTCCTTGGCAGCGGTGAGATCTCGAACATCCCAGAACTTGACGCGACCAGATTTGTCAAGCGAAACGATGACGGTATCGTCCTGGCTGAAGGTAAAGTCCTTGCCAGCCTTGCCAGTGTTGATTTTCAACGAACACTGTTTAGCCAGTTGCTCCGTATCGACGACACGATCGTGTCCAGGCTTGAAGAGGTTCTGTTGCATAATGAACGAAGGCCAGATAATGTTAATAGACTTTCCGCGGCCAACAGCAAAGAACTCGGGGTGGATGGTGGATGAGCGGGCGCGAGTCTTGAGCACTCCACCCGGCGTGTCTCCCTCGTGGAACGACATGGGGGGAAGAGCGAAGCCATACTGCTCAGGGTTCGCATCCTCAATGTGGTCCTTTTCGCCATTGCGAATCTGCACCCAGAAGACGGTGCCGCTGATGCCAGTACCAATGATGGTCTCCCGGTGCGCGCCGTCGTGGTCAGGGGCGGTGCAGGACATGGCGACGTTGAAGATGCGGTCCTTGGTGTCGGTGAAGATCTTAGCATCTCTACCATCTTCCTGGCGGATGACGCGCAGACCGCCGGCCTTGGACATGCCGTACACCATGTACCGCTCAGTGGCCGTGTAAAGGTTTCGGTCGATCTGATCAAACTCCTTTCTGAGGCGAGCGATATCCATAATAGCCTCGTCACGCAGCTGAGGACGCTCAATGTCGCCATTGTCGTTGACTTGAATGCTGATCCACGGCCTCATAGGGAAGTTGTAGACCTTGACCACTGCGCAGGCTCTTCTTCGATGACGACGATCTCATCCTGGTCGGCACTTTCCCAGCTGTCAGCGACGGA